CGTAAGCCGTCTTGCCGAGTAGCTTGTGAAGATATAGACGATTTATTGCATGGCAAGCTATCTCAACCGCTTCCACCCAAAAGTGTTTTGACGTCTTGTACTCATCAAGCATCGTTCTCGCCGTTTTGATGAGTGCCCGGTTCTTCCTCTCAACAACTCCATTTTGTTGAGGTGTGTACATAGCCGAGAACTCATGTGAAACCCCTTCTTTGTCAAGAAAGGCACCCACATTGGCGTTCTTGGACTCCGTTCCGTTGTCGCTGCGAACCTTCTTGATCTTCACTTCAAATTGATTTTGGGCCTTCCTAGCGAAGTTTTTGAAGATCTTTTGGACCTGCGATTTATCATCAAGAAAGAACACCCACGTAAATCTTGAAAAATCATCAACAATGACTAGTCCAAACGAGTTACCACCGAGACTCTTGTAGGCGTTGGGACCGAAAAGATCCATGTGAAGTAGCTCGAGCGGTCTCCTTGTAGTCATTATGTTCTTCACGGGGTGGCTTCCTCCAACCTGTTTTCCTGCTTGGCAAGCGCTGCAAAGTCTATCCTTATCAAATATGACATCTTTAACACCAAGGATATGATCAATAAGCTTGTCAAGGTTTCGCATGCCCACATGACCTAATCGTCTATGCCACAACCAGCCTTTGGAAGATTTAGTATTTAAGCAAGTTCTAGGTTGAGCCTTTTTAGTGAAATCAAGAATGTATAGGTCACCTCTATGTATGCCGATACAGACCATTTTATGATTATCTCTTCTAAACACTTGGCAATCTACTTCAGTAAATAGGATATTGAATCCAAAGTCAGCTAGTCTAGATGTAGAAAGTAGATTATAGCCAAGAGATTCAACGAGCATAACATTTTATATGGAGCTGTCATGTGAGATGGCCACCTTACCGAGGCCAACCACCTTAACCTTTGAGTTATCACCAAAGTGACATACTTTCGAGGGCCGTCGTTTTTAGCAAGCTCACGAAACATATCTTTGTCTCCGGTCATGTGATCGGTACATCCACTATCAAGGACCCATTCCTTTCCTCCAGCCTTCCTCCAGCCATGTAGCCGCGAAGGTTAGCCATAAGACCAAAGTGTCTCATAGACTCTTCAAGATCAAAATCATTATCCTCATCCTCATCATAGTATCCATGTTCAACATCATCTTGCAAATGATCATTTCCTAGAGAGAGTGATTCATTACATATATGATTTTGACAATGTTCATCTCTAACAATTCTAATAGCTTCGGAAATAATATTGCTAATGATTCCAACATCTCCTTTGGCACGCATAAGATTGGTAACCTCAAATAAACAATCTCCAAACTTAGGATCATTGGAATTCATCTTATTCAAATCAATAGACTTGTGAAGAATCTCATCTAAGTTTTTCAAGAAATAGTCCGGAAATCGTTCCTCAAGAAATCTCCATATGGTATAAGCACAATCAAGAGTTGGCAAGTGACCAATCAAATTTCTAGGCAAACCTCAAGTGATAAGCTTGATAGTTCTAAGATTGCGAATCATGTCAAGAGACTCATCATGGGTAGGATGCAAGGGACCAACAAGGGGTTCCCAAGGAGTAGTAATGTATTTGTTCAAGTGATATTCATGAAAAATTCCAAGAATCTCATTTTCCACTCACTAAAGAACTCTCCATCAAGCATAGGCACTCTACGTCTAAGACTCCCCAACGTAAACTCATCCATCTTCCTCCAATGGTGATTAAATGAAAGCAAGGGAGACCAATGCTCTGATACCAATTGAAAGGATGGAGAAGAGGTGTCTAGAGGGGGTGATTAGACCCTCAACAAATAAAGTTGGCGGTTTTTAAGTTTTTCAAGTTGAGGTGGTAGATTAACACAATTTCAAGCATACACGATACAATTCAAGCGAGCATGCAAAGAGTATATGAGCAGCGGAAAGTAAAGCATGCAATTTGCAAGAAGGTAAAGGGATGAGATTGGAGTGTGCAAACGCAATTGGAGACACGGAGATTTTTGGCGTGGTTCTGATAGGTGGTGCTATCATACATCCACGTTGGTGGAAACTTCAACCCACGAAGGGTAACGGTTGCGCAAGTCCACGGAGGGCTCCACCCGCAAAGGGTCCACGAAGAAGCAAGCTTGTCTATCCCACCATGGCCATCACCGACAAAGGACTTGTCTCACTAGGGTAGATCTTCACGAAGTAGGCGATCTCTTTGCCCTTACAAACTTCTGGGTTCAACTCCACAATCTTGACGGAGGCTCCCAAGTGACACCTAACCAATCTAGGAGACACCACTCTCCAAAAGGTAATAGATGGTGTGTTGATGATGAACTCCTTGCTCTTGTGCTTGATAGTCTCCCCAACACTCAACTCTCTCACATAGATTTGGCTATGGTGGAAGGATGATTTGAGTGGAAAGCAACTTGGGGAAGGCTAGATATCAAGATTCTTGTGGTTGGAATGGAATATCTTGGTCTCAACATATGAATATGTGGTTCTCTCTCAGAAAATGAATGCTGGAAGTGTAGGCACATTCCCAAACCCGGTGGGACCGAATAGTGAAACTCGGTCAGACCGATTCGGGTCAAAATGTGAACGTTAGAGTTTTCGATGGGACCGACAAGGTCAACTCGGTGGGACCGATGTGCAGGGGTTAGGGTAAACCCTCAACTCGGTTTGACCGATTACTCAAACTTGGTGGGACCGAATTTGGTAATAAGAAAACTGAGTATTGGTCAAGCAGACTCGGTGGGACCGACTGAACAAACTCGGTGAGACCGAAATTGTTGCAATAAGTCACAGAGAATTTGCAAGCCCATCTCGGAGAGACTGAGATCCCATTGGTGAGACCGAAGTGATTAGTGTTTGGCGGTGGCTGTGTCAAATGAAACTCGGTGGCGCCGGATAGATCAAATAGGTGGGGCCGAATTTGACTTTTAGGTTTAGGACATGTGGAAATGAGAAAGTGGTTGAGGATTATTGAGCATATCATTAAGCATTTTGAGCAAGCAAGCCATTAAGCAACACCTCATCCCCTTTTAATAGTATTGGCTTTCCTATAGACTCAATGTGATCTTGGATCACTAAAATGAAATTGTAGAGTCTTGAGCTTTTGCCAATATTTTTTGTTAGCATCTTGAAGGGGTTCCACATCCTCTTGTCCATGTCCATGCCACTCCAATGTTGAACTTATCTGAAATATACTAAGTGGAAATATTAGTCCAACAAAAGATATGTTGATATTAATTACCAACATCATCCAGGAAGTACTTGTGCTTTCACATACTCTTTAGATCACATCAAACGCAGACAAAGTTTCACTTCCTTGATACGAAAGCAAGCAGGACTTGGCTGAATTTATGTGTTGTGTGGAGTATACAAAAACGTATAGAAAGCCCACCAACGATTTTTTTAAGAATCCAAGATGCATGTCTCGTGCCTACATTCTACCGCAACCTCGTTATAAGCGGGGCATATGCGCCCTCTTTTTTTGTTGATGAAATCATTAATTAAGGCGTATCATTGCAAAGATCACTTTTACCTTCTCAGGCGCTGACAAGTGACGCTGCATGTGCATCACTTGTCGCCACCTGAGAGTTTTTTTTCTTAGATTCGTTTATTCAAAACGTTTCATTTCTTGAACCGTGCGTCCAAATTTCAAGCCGTTTTATCAGTTGGATTTCTCGTGTCGAGATATTTGAAATTAGATCCCTTGTGTTTTGATGAACTTTTTTTCACGAAAAACCCGGACAAACCAAAAGAAAAACCCGTAACCAAAATCACATTTTTTTTCTTTCCAAGAGGCACAACTGTGCGTCTCACGGAAGCAAATCTATGCCTCTACAAGAAGCGGATTTGTACGGAGTGAGCGCCCAACACAGGATACATGATGACGGCTAGACGCACCATTTGTCGCGCTCTCAGCCCAACCCACCAAAATGACCCTTGAGATTGATGCTTTTTTATAGATGAACAGAAGGACAATTCAACATGCTTTAATGGGTACGACCCGCCCGTTCGACGTGCAGGGAGAGCTGTCATTCACAACCCACATCCAACTCTTGCATCTGCAGCAGGCGATCACCACGGTCCAATGCGACCCGACAGTGGAGGATTAGTTCACCTGGCCTTGTGATGCATCGGGAGCCTACACTGCGCGGTCGGTCTATGATAGATTGTGCCTAGGATTGCATTGTGTCCCCTTTGATACCTTCATATGGAGGAACTGGGCCCCACTCAAGTGCAAGATCCACGTTTGGCTGACAGTGCAACACCGGATTTGGACATCGGATCGCAGAGCCAGGCACGATCTGCAGGAAGCCCCATCGGCGTGCTATACTTGCCTCCAGGATGAGGATAAGGCAGAGCGCATCCACATTCAATGTGGGTACGCGAGAGACATTTGAAATCTATGCTTAAGGAATCTTAACATTACCGTGCGACAACCCGACAGGGATGATACTTTAATTGATTGGTGGCTCCGGGCTAAGTTTCCACGCGCAAACAAGAGAGGGTTCAACACTTTGGTCACGACAGTTACTTGGGAATTTTGGAAACAAATGAATGGTAGAGTGTGTTCAACCGTGCAGATCAAGTTATGACGGTGGCACAACTGCACAGACACATCTTCGATGAGATCAAGGCGTGGAAAGAAGCTGGTTTGGGCGTTGTAGTACTCCACAAATTTGTGAGAGGGCATGCTTAGGATTTAGGTATTGGTGTGGGTTGTAGCCTTGAGGGAGTATGTCATTGGCATACTCTGGGAAAAAAAAGACTGCTGCTTTTTTTTTAGGTTTCCCAGAGTGCTGCTCTAGCCGCTTGTTCTGTCTGCCAGAAACCAAGGCCAAGAAGCCCATGACGCATGACCGCGCCTGAGACCAAAAGCCTTGCCCACCATATTGGGCGCCCCTTTCCTCTTTGTGCTGCGCTCCTCGTTTTGTTGCGACAAAAGAGCGGCGAATAGAGCGGCGAGGGCGTGAGGGGCCCCTGCTGCTTGTGGCGGCGGCAATGGAGAGGGGCGAGAGCATCCTGGATGCCGTGCTCGACGAGGAAACCCTAGATTTCGGCGGAGATGACGTCGAGATGGCTGACGCGGAGGCGGACGAAACCCCCATCCCCGACCCCCCCGCCGCCGGAGCAGGAACCGCTGGCGGTGGTGCGCAGGCGGGCGGACCGGCGGGCAAGAAAAAGAAGAAGAGGAAGTCCGGGAGGAGTAAGAACAGGGGGAGGCCTGATGGGCCACCCACCAAGATCGGCGACATTAATCGGTAAAAACCCTCGCACCACTCGCTTAGGGTTTTGGTTATGCCCGAGACGAAATTAGAAAATTAATGTTTGTGTATATACCACCTGCTATTTGTTTTATATGTTTTTGTTTCACAAATCGGGAGTATTGAGTAGACTATTGCGGAAATTGGTTTATACGTATAATGGTTTTGATCATCCTTTCGAAATGTTTGTTTCTTCTATGTGAAATTTTTATATGAAGTAAAATGCTCACACCGTGTTGATGATACTGAATGCAACGAAGCAATTGCACTATATGGTCAACAAACATTGCACATTTTAATAGAAATTAGTTAATTGCTATCATGAATACAAAGACTTCTTTTCACAAGAGGATTATACAGAGTTTAGTTTTCCAACTGACTTGTAATCCAATACTCCAACACTTGTATAAAGCTATCGCTACTTTGGTTTGCCCAACCAGCCTGTCAAGGCAAATTATTTTGCTTCGTTGTGTTATTTATTTTAGGTTGCTAACTGCCCAATCCTTTATACCTTTTGCAGTTTTGTACTTGACACGTGCAGGCGCTTGAAGGAGAAAAAGTCATACCTTGTCTGGAATGCTATTGGCTGCCTTGGTGTTTCTGCTGTCAGCGATCTTGTACGAGAGGTATACAATTCTTTTGTTGAACAGTATGTAAGGAGGTTCAGTTTATCAATTGACGTACTTTTGAAAAGTTTACTGTCTTGGTTGAGATGGATCATTTTCTTACTAAAGCACAAATATGTCATAATTTGTTAGTGTAAGCTATTGTACTGGACCTCTCTGTTTTTGTTTGTGCCTCAGTGGTGTGGACTGGTAGGTATTTGCCCAATGGACTTGCATACCCTTGTAACCCTTCATAGGAAATCTGTTGCTCTTACAAATATTACTGCCTTGATTCTTTGCAGTTCCACGGATTAGTTTGTTTTAAGTAATTGAGAAGTTTGGAGTTTCTCTGAAGAGTCACTGAATAATATTTCCTTCTATGCTTGGTGAAAAAAATCCAATTGCAGTTAAGTTCCTATTTTAAAGCTGTGCCTTGTATAATTCTTGCTGTTTATATAATCAGATAGCAATATTTTAGAACCTGTAAAGTTTAGTATTCATGAGTTGTTATCTATTGCTAAGTACATTCTATTCTAGGTTGAGGCCATTCAGAAGTGTGGTGGGCAGACGATTGCTGATGGAAGTCGTTTCCGGACAGGTGGTGGAATCCTCTGGAACATCTTGAAATCACGAGAGCCAAAGGCATACAAGGAAATTATGGTGAAGGGAAGGGAGCTTGAGGTAAGATATTTATGTGACTTGTCAAAGTGCTAGTTTTCGCACTACCATTCCTCATGTATGACTGTTTAGTGCAATAGCCATTTCCTACAGCAACCTTTCGCGACGTGATTTTTTTGTACATGCCATGTCGTTGTCACAAAAAGCAGGCAAAAATTAAGGAACTTAAGATAATTTTGTTAATCTTGAGTCTTGATGAGCCAGCCTGAGTGAACTAGTATTAACAGAATGAGTGGATGTTTTGCACGACCATTCCTCATTTATGGCTGTTTAGTGGTTAGTGCAATAGCCATTTCCTACAACTCCCATTCACCAGGGAAAAAAAATTGTGTACGTGCCACGTCATTGTCACAAAAAGCAGGCAAAAATAGACGAACTTAAGATAATTTGGTTAATTTTGAGTCTAGATGAGCCAGCCTGAGTGAACTAGTATTAACAGCATGAGTGGATCCTTTGTGATTCATGTAGAAAATTATTATAATCAATCTTTGTTATAAATCAAGTAATAAATGTAAAATAGCTACCATGCCAAAATAATTTCACTATGTTGAAGACTGATGTGCTACATTTCTCTACAACAACAACAAAGCCTTTAGTCCAAACAAGTTGGGGTAGGCTAGAGGAGAAACCCATAAGATCTCGCGACCAACTCATGGCTCTGGCACATGGATAGCAAGCTTCCACGCACCTCTGTCCATAGCTAGTTCTTTGGTGTCTCTCAACGGACTCCTCCCATGTCAAATTCATCTACCCCGACCTCTCTTGACATTCTCCGCACGCTTTAGCCGTCCGCTATGCACTGAAGCTTCTAGAGGCCTGCGCTGAATATGCCCAAACCATCTCAGATGATGTTGGACAAGCTTCTCTTCAATTGGTGCTACCCCAACTCTATCTCGTATGTCACGGTCTCGATCCTTCCTTGTGTGGCCACACATCCATCTTAGCATACGCATCTCCGCCACACCTAACTGTTGAACATGTCGCCTTTTAGTCGGCCAACACTCGGCGCCATACAACATTGCGGGTCGAACAACCGTCCTGTAGAACTTGCCTTTTAGCTTTTGTGGCACTCTCTTGTCACAGAGAATGCTAGAAGCTTGGCGCCACTTCATCCATCCGACTTTGGTTCGATGCATCAATACCCCCATCCTCTTGCAGCATTGACCCCAAATATCGAAAGGTGTCCTTCTGAGGCACCACCTGCCCATCGAGGCTAACCTCCTCCTCACACCTAGTAGTACTAAAACCGCACATCATGTACTCGGTTTTAGTTCTACTAAGCCTAAACCCTTTCAATTCCAAGGTTTGTCTCCATAACTCTAACTTCCTATTTACCCCCGTCCGACTATTGTCAACTAGCACCACATCATCCGCAAAGAGCATACACCATGGGATATCTCCTTGTATATCCCTTGTGACCTCATCCATCACCAAGGCAAGAAGATAAGGGTTCAAAGGTCAAAGCTGACTCCTGATGCAGTCCTATCTTAATCGGGAAGTCATCAATATCGACATCACTTGTTCGTAGATGTCCTTGATGAGGGTAATGTACTTTCCTGGACTTTGTGTTTCTCCAAGGCCCACCACATGCCATTTCGCGGTATCCTATCATAGGCCTTCTCCAAGTCAATGAACACCATATGCAAGTCCTTCTTTTGCTCCTTGTATCTCTCCATAAGTTTTCGTACCAAGAAAATGGCTTCCATGGTTGACCTCCCAGGCATGAAACCAAACTGATTTTTGGCCACGCTTGTCATTCTTCTTAAGCGGTGCTCAATGACTCTCCCATAGCTTCATTGTATGGATCACCAGTTTAATTCCACGGTAATTAGTACAACTCTGAGCATCCCCCTTGTTCTTGAAGATTGGTACTAATATACTCCATCTCCATTCCTCTGGCATCTTGTTTGCCCGAAAAATGAGGTTGAAAAGCTTGGTTAGCCATACTATCGCCATGTCCCCAAGGCCTTTCCACACCTTAATGGGGATACAATCAGGGCCCATCGCCTTGCTCCTTTCATCCTTTTTAAAGCCTCCTTGGCCTTAGACTCCTGGATTCGCCGCACAAAACGCATGCTGGTCTCATCAAAGGAGTTGTCCAGTTCAATGGTAGAACTCTCATTCTCCCCATTGAACAGCTTGTCGAAGTACTCCCGCCATCTATGCTTAATCTCATCGTCCTTCACCAAGAGTTGGTCTGCTCTGTGCTTGATGCATTTGACTTGGCCAATATCCCTCGTCTTCCTCTCTCGGATCTTGGCCATCTTATAGATGTCGCTTTCGCCTTCCTTCGTGCCTAACCGTTGGTAGAGGTCCTCATACACGCTCGACCCCTTGCTTCACTGTCAACTCGCTTTGCAGCCTTCTTCGCCATCTTGTACTTCTCTATGTTGTCTGCACTCTATCTAGGTATAGGTGTCTGAAACAATCTTTCTTCTCTTTAATCACCTTCTGGACATCATCATTCCACCACCAGGTATCCTTATCTTCGCTTCTCCTTCCCCTGGACACTCCAAACTCCTCCGAGGCCACCTTACGAATGCAAGTCGCCATCTTCATCCACACATTGTCTGCATCCCCTCCCTCCCAAGGGCCCTCCTTAATGACCCTTTCCTTGAATGCCTGAGCTACCTCCCCCTTAAGCTTCCACCACTTCATTCTAGCGACTTTGGTACGCTTATCCCGCTGGACACGAATCCGAAAGCGGAAGTCAACAACCACCAGCTTATGCCGAGGTACAACACTCTCTCCAAGTATCACCTTACAGTCTAGGCACGCACGCCTATCTTCTCTTCTCGAGAGGATGAAATCAATCTGGCTAGAGTGTTGGCCACTACTAAAAGTCACCCGATGTGATTCTCTTTCTAAAGAGGTTGTTAGCTACAATCATGTCATAGGCTAGAGCAAAGCTTAAGACATCTTCTCCTTCTTGATTCCTGATGCCATAGCCAAAGCCCCAGGCACCCCTTCAAAACCTGTGTTAGATGTACCTATGTGGCCATTGAGGTCTCCTCCTATGAAGAGGTTCTCGCCAACAGGTACACTCCTAACCATGTCTTCCAAGCCTTCCCAGAACTCCCTCTTGGTGTTCTCATTGTGGCCTACTTGCGGGGCATACGCGCTGATAACATTGAGAACTAAATCCCCAACTACTAGCTTGACCAGGATAATCCGGTCCCCACGTCTCTTGACGTCTACCACTCCATACTTGAGGCTTTTGTTGATCATTACTGTTTGCAGCCGTCCCCATGTACCACAGCTTGAAGCCTTTTGTCCCCTACATTTGGTTTCCTTGACGCAAAGGATATCAACACCTCTCCTCACCGCTGCATCAACTAGCTCCTGAAGCTTCCCTGTCGGAGACCCTATGTTCTAGCTACCTAAGCGAATCCTCCTAGGCTCGGCTAGCTTCCTTACCCTTCGCACTCGTCGAGTCAAATGCAAAGACCCTTGCTCATTTTCCACTCCATCCGGGTGCCGATGTAGCGCGCCACTAAGGATGCGACGACCCGATCCTCGCTCACTTGCCACCGTATCCGGATCAAGATACGGCGCGCCACCAGGGGGTGACGGCCGGGCCTTGCCCATTTGACACCACACCTGGGTTCCGATGTAGCGCATCGCTGAGAGGGTTACGCCCCAACGAAAATCTTTTGGGTTTCATCTCCATAAGAGTGGCCGAGTTTTTACGTTGGCTTGCCAAGCCTATCACAACCCTTCTCCTTTACCCGGGCTTGGGACCGGCTATGTTGAGACAACATAGGCGGACTTTGTGCTACATTTTTCTCATTCTCTTTTTATATACCAACATTACAACTGATGGTGCTGATTGGTACGGTGAAGTACCATTTTACTGCACTTTTACTCGATCTGAATGGTCTTTGCTACCACTACCATGTTTAATTATGTCTAATTGATTTTGCTACTTTCTCCTTTCAGAAGCAGTTCATGTATACGAAAGGCAGACCACAGATGAGCAGAAATGAAGATGCAAGCTCACAGGGCACCGCGCTAGTTGACGAGGAAATTGAAGCACATGATGACCCTGAGCACTTGGTCGATGCAGAGGAAGCACCTCCTTCTGTTGATAAAGCTGAACCTCGTAAACCAGTAGCCGACAGGATTCGTGTGCCTGTTGCTTATGATGATCTTTTTGAAGATGGAGAGATACAAGAAGAACAACCACAAAATTGAAGTATTCCAAAGGTTTTGCCTGCTCAGAAAGCAAGATTGCAGAATGCGAGGGAAGAGGGTCGATGTATGTATGAAGTTGCGGTGAAGCGACCTTCTTTCCCAAGGACTCCCCTTTTTCCCCTTGTGTGATTGAGCAGTAAATCATGCAAATATGCAGCAACTGATGAGTTCTATTGCTGCTAGGAGTGGAAGTTGTACGAACAATATTGAGCCTAAATTCAGTGCTGAATGAAAACTATGGTTTTACAACTGTCCAGTTCATTTTAAGGATGTATTACTCCTGAGTACTAGCTGGGTTTGGATATGCATTATGGCGCCAGGCTCAACAAGTAGGACTGGTCGTTGGTCCAATATCGGCATTTTTTCCCCCAGTTCTAGTGTAGCTTTGTGGGAGCTAATAAGTGAGGTCCTGATTTGAAGATTGCCAACCGCGCCTACCGTGTGGTAAGCGAGGTCCTGTTTAAGTCTTGAATTTGGCTAAATTTCTGGATGAGCCATTTCACCGCTAATCTTATGGTGTTTTATTGAATGGATTTTCGTAGGAAGTTTGTAGGTTTGAAAAGTTTTTTTTTTGTAAATTTATTTGTAGGATTTAGGATTGAATCATACTAGAAGGCCACACTTTTGCTGCGCCCATAAACAATGATGAAGAATCTACCGCGCGCGCAAAAAAAAAAAAAGATGAAGAATCAGATATGCCCCATTGACGTGGACTTCAACCTATGTCATTACTAGAAGCAAACTGCGTTTTTTTTGATGAAACAAGAGCTATCATTAAACAGTAGCATTACAATCATTCTGCAGCCATTCAACTAGAAACCTAGGAACAAAGTTGATCCATAAACATCTCCTTCTAGTCGAAGAAGCCTGCTTAGCACAAAGATGTGCCCCTTCATTAGCT